ATCATTAATGCACCTCCCCGTATGGCCAAGATAAACCCTACCGCAAGACAGGTGGCCCTTGTAGGTAACCGCTAAGGCAGACTGTCTACACTTGGTGGCATGACGCTTGCCGCGCACCCCCTCCGCATCACCCGGCACTCCTGCGCTCTTTATTCTTTGGCATAGCTTAACAAGTTTGTTGGGATGAAAAAAAACAAAAAAAACTACAGGTGCTCGAAACTTATTCGCCACCCTTTTGAGGTTGTGAGAGACCTTAGGTACATAAGGCGGGTTTATTCTTCTCTTTATATGTTTCCTTTAGTGAAGTTGAGTTGCAATTTACGCCTCCGTCCTGTGTACTTCTTTCTCTGCCTCTGTGTTTTTTTTTTTTGTATTTACCACCAACATATTCTAATCGACTATTACTAATCAACTAAATACTAATCAACTAGTCCAATAGAGGCGTAGACTTGATAGTGTCGCCTGCTTCCAACATTCTGAGACATATGACTTCAAGGTCGAATAATACATTTTTCGCTTCACCGAGGGGAGTGAGAGAAGAAATCTTAATCATACATGTAACAGGTGACACACAAAAACAAAATGGTGACTCGTTTTTTAAAATAGTGACGTCACTCACGTTTTCCTTACGGATCCTTATAGCTTTTGTAACACTGGTTTTTGTTAGTTTCCATTTGGTGTCTCTTCGTTAATATTCTACATTTTGATTAATGTTTAAAAATACAAAATTGTAAATCCTTAAACAAAAGTACAAACTAATAAAATTATGGAGAAACGGATCTCATCTAACGTTTCTTATTAAGACTATGAAATTTAACTCCAAGAAGGAAAGTTCGCTCATTTTCATATCGATGCTGATATCAAATGCTTAGCACGGTTACGAAAGTCTCTAGAACTCCCAGCTTAGGCTTCTAAAGTGTGCAGCAAACAAAGTGATATAATAGTATCTGAACAACAACGAATCGGTGAACCTTTTCTAAATTGCTTCAACGATTGATTTTCTACCTTGGCAGATCGCAGCAGCAGCGTTAGGGCTGTGAAATAAACTAAGAATGGTTAAAAACAATTAAAAAAAAAAACACCAAAGATTTACACGGGATTGGGACAGGCTACTCGACACGGGGCATTATTTTTTTCTAAAAACTCCGTCTTTGTTTGTTTGTTCGTTTTTTCTTTCCCGAATTTTGAGATGAACAAATTATCCCAACTAACCACATTGCTAAGCTTTGATGCTTATGATACTCTTGATACTATAGTATAGACCTTTTTCCGCTTACTCTCGACCCGACCGCCAAGTAGGCATATGTGGTATGGGCGACAAGAAAAAAAAAAAAATTAAAACTTTTCAACCTGCAAATAGTAAAAAAATAGAGGGGAGAGAAAACGAGAATGGGTGACATTTACGTTTTTCTCCTAAATGCATTATACTGGCGTGACGACGGCAAAACAATGTTTTCGCCCATACTGGAAGTGACGACAATTCAAGATGACGGCGCCCTTGAAGGAAGGGTCTATAGTCTGATACAAACTGAGAATAGCAGGGCAACCCACTTCTACAAGGCTCTCTACTCGCCATGATAGGTAGCATTCTCCTCTCCATTCACCTTCTCTCCAGCGTCGCTTCGCTAAAGTTGACAGAGTGGAGGGTTGTTTTTAGGAAAGAGGAGCTTGTTTTGCTTTTCTTACCCCTTTAGTGGTTTTAAAAACACAAAATAACAAATAGTACCTGGTATAAAACAATGATTTGTCTTTTTTTATAACATGTTTTTGAAATGCTGCTCGCAAGCAACCTTGGGCATTTGCAGCACTACTTCACGTCAACAAACTGAAAGCAGTTACGACCTGGGGAAAAGCACAGGTGTATTTGGAATTTCTCACGGTAGCGAAAGGTGTAACGGACTTTTCAATATTCGCGCCTGTTTTTCTTCTCGAAGTTTTGAGGCCAGAGGTGTATGCCATTATACATCACATCCACTGCCGGCTTTGGCTTCAAAGGACGGATGATCTGTTATGAAGATGCATTTTGATCCTCCTCTGCTAAGCGAAGGTACCCTCGCCCTTGGGAAAGAACGCGCTAAATTCAGTGAGGCGCACGTGGCGCGGGAGAAAATATATGTTTCTTGAGTTGGTGCTTCTGGGCAACTATGGGCATCAAAGGGTTAGCCTGCAACATACCATAGGTTCTATTATACTCTACCAGTATTGGGAACTACATTTCAAGTAGTTTTAGATGACTTGTACTTAACTTGAAGTACCTTCTCTGAGTGTGTACTTGTACTTAAAGTATCGTTTTCTGGTACTTTCCGATGAAAGTACAACTCTTGAATTTAAAATAAATCCCCAAATATGAAAAAAAAAGAAGAAAAGAAGTCCTATTGTTACGTGAAAACGCGCTATCGTTTTTCGAGACTTCATCTAGTTATTTCTCTGAGTGAAGTAATGGCGGCTATAGGACCGATTTGTTGTTTTAAATAGTTCGTCAGCCAAAGGAAAACAACTACACTCTGGTAACTGGACTTTCTCCAACATTCGCAGCAGTTTCTAACAATAACTGATGCACCCTCCTCTCACCCCATTTTCCAGTACAAGGAAATGAAATGGCATTATGCAAGATTGTGTTAAAGAGTACTTGTACTTTACTTTGAAAGTACATTGCATTTATAGCAATTTACTTCAAGTACATGGTCTTACTACTTTGTCTTACTACTTTACTTGAAGTACATAACCTCTCATTTACTTTGTACTTCACTTTATGTACTTTTTAGATGTACTTTCCCCAACACTGTACTCTACGCATACAAAAAGTGAGCATGAGTTCATAGAAATGTTCGCGTCTGTGCCGCGCATGCGCATTTGTGTTCTCTCATCTTTAGTCACCCTGACGCTATTTCTTGAGGCAGTGATTTTTTCTTTTTTTTTTCGCTGTTTGTGCTGTGCATTAATCCTGTTCAAGTCAATATATAACGGCAAGCCGACTCCGAAGTTCGGTCTGTCATAAGACTTTTCAAGTGCGACAAATGTCAGACCGTGCAGACTGCGAAAGATCCACGGAGAGCTTGGCAAAATTTATAGACTGAGCGCAATGGGCGACGGAATGATGTGACATCGAGTTTGAACGGATCACGAAGGGGAGCTTCAGCTGGGCGGTCATGGTTCAATGCGTAGCACTAGGATTTTTCTAGTCAATGAACATTTGACGAAGAAAGTGCATAAAAAAGTTCTGGAGAACCGACGCTTTATAGCTTCCGATCTTACCAGTGTTATTGAGCACTTTAAGTACATTGTATTTAAAGCACTACTTCAACTAGGTTTATAAAACTTGTACTTAGCTTGAGGCACATTCTCTGAGTATATACTTGCACTTTTCTTAAAAGTATATTTTTTTCTGGTACTTTCTGACGAAGGTACACCTCCCGACTTCAAAGTTCATTCTCCAAATTTGGTCTGGTTAAATTTGTTTCACAAAATGATGCTTTGTAAACTTTGAAGAAATACTGGGAAGGAGATTCTACTCTCACCAGAAACGGGAACAGACGATGCATCACTCATCTGGTCATTTTTCTGAGGGAAGCAATGGTGGTTCTAAGACAGATACAAATAAGTGCCTTATAAGTTATACGCTTATTGTGTGGACTAGTTTGCCAGCGAGAGTAAAAATATTATCCGGTGGATATTTGATATCGTCTAACATTCGCCTCCATTTCCGATCATTCTTAAATCAATGCATACCCGTAAAAAAAAAAAAAAGAAGTGCATCATGAAAGATGGTGTTAAAAAAAAGTACTTGTATTTTACTTCTAAAGTGCATGGTATTTAGAGCATTTTACTTCAAGTATATTGCTCTCAGTGTACTTACTACTTTACTTGAAGTACATAAGCTCTCATTAAATTTGTACTTTACTTCGAGTACTTTTTCGATGTACTTTACCCAATCTTGCAAGAGATGTCCTTTTAAATTTCGGAACCGTTTACTTCACTAAATCATTGCGGAACACTTGAGCAGCACAAACTGTCTTCACGGTGGATGCAGGCAAAGATGTTGTCTCGAGACTCGGGCGGCACTTCAATAAAAAAAAAAGTATTAAAAAAAAAGCTTGTGCTACGATATGGCCAATACCTTAAAGGCGATACGTCATAAATGATCGTGGTATACAGAAGTCTCTGAAAGTAACTCTTTTTGGAAAACAATGTTGCACATGAAATAAGCTGTAGTAAAGTAGTAATTTGAGCTAGTTGGCACTTTAACATGATGAAACAGCGCACAGAACACGGAGAAAGATATATGACAGGTAGAGCGAAAGAGCGCTGACTCCCAACTCATTATATAAACCGATTAATAGTCACCATTTAATCGATTAATTAAACCGGGCTCTTTCATTTCCATGCGTACTATTAAAACTTTTTTTTTTCTGTTGCTTTTGTCGATAATGTGATGAACGGCACAATATACAGCTATGTTTACGAATCAACCTCGATGTGTAGTTGAGAACAGTTCAAAGACACCCACCCACACTCACAGATGATTACTTCAGCTGCATGAGGCGGTTCGGTGGTATTCTCCGGCAAGAGCGAACTTCCTCGGCTGTTCACAATAATCTCTGCTGCGCTAAATGGACACTCGCACGGCGTTGAAGTAGCCTGAATCTGCACTTGTCTGGAGTTCCATATCTGGCCCCTACAGCTAAGTTTATCCTTTCGCCTAAAAGTGGTCCTTCATACAGGTGGTCTCGTCCACGTCTGAGTGGTGAAAGCGTTTAACTTTCTATTGGTTTGTCAAAAATTTATCGATTAACCGGTTCAATAAAAGAATAACCGCGATTAATCGATTCATCGGTAGGTAAGTCGACCGACTGCCCAGTCCTAGTCGTAGCTAAACCCGTTTTTAGTACGACATCAACATTTTCGATCGCAAATCTCTCCGCGATTTGCTTCTTTTATAGGTTCTAAATATCACATAAACGAATGGAGAGTTAGGTTAGGCCAGCAAAGCGTTCACTTACTACTTGCAAGATAGACGTGCCGCTGCTGTGTGCTCCCCGCCGTCGCCGCCGTTCCGAAGTTGGCAGAACTCGGGCAGCGCCGTAGCATGAGTCGAAAGAGGGCTTCATGGCTTTTGCGAAGCATCGACGTGTTGCGATTTCTGTCTTGGGAAGGGAGAGCGGCGGGTCGATCGGTGTGTATCCAACGTCGGAACGGCGATCGTTCCACGAGTATTACCGCGACACCCGCACGAACGACGGCGAGCTGGCAGTCTAGCAGACGACCCCCGCGGTGCAGACGACTCACGCGATCCGCTCGGCTGCGGGGTGCTGCAGAGTGCTTGCTTCGCTCGACAACGAGCGGCGCTAGCATCGGCCCTTTTGCTCTTCGTGCGTCCGCTTTTAGAAATGTTGATTCTTTTCTTTTTTTCCTTTTCTCTCTCTTGCCCGCAATCTTGTCTTTCCGCGTGCGTGCACGTCATCTCCAGCGCTGCCAACGTTTTGTTCACTTCGTAAGGTGTGGCGGTAAAATCGAGTTTTTTTTTTTTTTTTTTTTGTCCAGAAATGCGTCTTTAGTTTGCTTGTGGCCAGTCTGCTGGAGTTGACATCGTGATCGTCATTATTAAAATACGTATCAATGTATTTCAAGAATAACTCGATTGAAGAGTGAATTGACGCACGCGCTTTGCTAGAGCTGTTCCATTCTTTAATAGTTTAAACGTACAGAGAGAGAGAGAGAGAGAGTGAACAACAGTTACGAGGCATGCGACAGGGTTACGCCAAGTTGCTTTATTTCAACTTTGACAATTATTTAATTAGAATGGCTGTTAATCGCATACTGTTCCCGGTGTATAACCAGCAATGGCAAATTTCGAATGAATCAATTTTTGCATTCGGTGCATTGTCCACAGTCCGCACTTGTTGCCGAGTCCGCCCATAGGAAACTCTCGTACACAGCACACCTTGACAAATGTCTGCTTTACTAACTCATAAACAAGCTTTCCACATAGATAAATCATGATTAACATACACTTTCATCATAGGCGTGAGCAGAGTTCCGCTTGAGAGGGGGCCTATTCTCATAAGAGCGCTTTCTCCCCCCCCCCCCCCCCCCCCCAATCCGGCTCCCTCCAAAATGACCTCTGCATTGCGCTAAGGAATGCAATGCTAATGGTAATGAACATCATAATCTTACTATATCTGAGACGTCATATCTGCATCTTTGCTGTTGCATTATCCTTAAAAATCGGGTCGTACGAAAGATGCGTAATCATTTACACAAAGTGTGAAGCTTGAACGCGTCCGAAGCATCATAAGGTATGGTTTGCAAAATCTGGTAATTCTATCAACATACAAATTATTATGGGACTCCTGATTGTGAGAAATATCCGCGTTTTGATGGAGGTTTGTAGAAAGGTCAACAGCCCCGGGCGGCCACCCCATGCTAGAAAAATCACAAGACAATTATGTATATACCGTGCCGTAAAGAATGCTTTTATTCAGTACCCGTGTCTTGCGGTGCTCCATACGTCGGACAGACGAGCCGACATGGGCGTACCAACCCGGGGGGGGGGGGGGGGGGGAGCGCTTGCACCCCCCCAGTTCTCAGAGTGTGGGGGGGGGGGGGGCAGAGCATGTGTTTTGCCCCCCCCCCCCCCTAAAACAGCCGCCACTGGGCAGGGCAAACACTGGCCGGCGGCGCCCAAGGGATACCAAGGGCGCCGCCCCTTAGTCCTGGAGGGGGGGGTCTGGGTCTGGTTTGCTCCCCCCAACACACACACACACACTCAAAAACAAGTTGGTACGCCACTGCGAGCCGATGCCTAAATGATCGGTTGAGAGAACAAGGGAACGAGGTATTCAGGGACGATGACTTGGTAGAGCCATAGACGCTCTCGGCAATATCAACTGCTGGCACCAAGTCGCTTGGGGAGTTTTTAATGAATATCTATTCAGCTCAGTTTATTTCATTATTTTACAATGCTAAGGTCTACAGCTCCGGTTAATGTAGCAATTCACATGCAAAATATTCAGGCATATTTGCGTTGCGTAATACTAAACAAGCACATTCACGCTCGTCGTGACCGAACGTTAGGTGAAGGCTAACGTTGGGTCACAGAACTTCTGTCTGTGACCCAACGTTCGCCTTCAACGAACGTTTGGTCACAAACAGAAAGTTCTGCCTGTTACTAGTAGAAAACATCTGACAGTAGAAACAAGAAACAGAGCTCCAAGACACACTGTACTCCAAACACGGAAAGCTAGTGTACCAGTCGGACTTGAAGGTCCTTGAATAACCGCCGCCATAGTTGGTCACAAGAAAAGACCAGCACAGGCTGTACTGGCAAAGGCTGTTCGAGCTACATCCCGTGGTACTTCTGTCTTCAGTTAAGAAGGTCAGGCTTGGTGTTCTTCGTTAAGTTGACAATCAATCCGCCATCATCGCTACCTTGAAGACTCACGTTTTCCTAAGCGCGTGCACACGCCATCCACTCTCAATTGAGCGGGACGCTTTGCCGGTTGAGAATCGCAGGCGTTTCTTGAAACTTTCCGCTTTATTGCTGTTTGTTGGAAGAAGTCAATGATCGGATGATTGGATGCCATAGCAGCCATAGCACACGCGGGGGAACTCTACGAGTATTCCTCAATGTTCTCGGCACCAAGTAATTGGCCCGCTGTGGAGCTCGGATGGGGTCAGGCACCGGTACGAAACTGCAGAGGGGATCTCGGGAGCAAGGGCGTCTCGAAAGGAAAGCACTGTTGTGCTCGATTAGTATCAGAAAGCACGATTCCTTTCACAAAATTGCTTCTTTCAAGCAGTCCATGTCCTTCATTCAGTTCCCTGCGTGGTGAGGATTTGGGGAGAACACATATAAACAAACCGAACTGGCAACATTTATTTTCAGTTTGTCTCCAAACTACTGGGTAGTCCCTCGGGGGGAACCTATAGACCGACACGCGGGGCGGCTCTCTTTACCAACACGGCCGCGCATGCGCAGAAGCTATGTGGCCAGAAGTGGAGAGGCTCTCCGTGTTCTCGCCCTTGCGTTGTGTGGCGTGCGCTCCTTGTAGACGTTGTAGAGACGCTTCTATAGCTTCATTTGTGCGTCGTATTTCTTGTCAACGTATGTCGTATGTTATGCCCGACTATTTCAGCTTTCTACCCGAGCCTGAACGGCAGCGGTATCGAGATAAACTGTGCGTGGACGGCGTTGCCTTCGACGATCCGTACTCCGTAAACAAGGACTGCTGGAGTTTCGATATGAAGTTGCTGCCACCGACGTCGATGGCTCACGTCGTCGTTTATTTAGTTTTTCGCCAAGCCAGTTCACGGCCGGCACGGTGCAGGCCTAAAAGTCTCTCAAGGCCTACGATTACTTCGAGCCGGTTTCCCACATGCCGGCGGAATCAGCAGACTGGGTCTGCGGAAGTGTATTTATTAATTGATTAAATACATACAACATCCTTCGAGTCAAGGTATGATGTTTTTCCTACCCTCATGACCACAAGGCACGACCAGCGGTAACGCTTTTTTCGTTCAGCCGCCGGTTTCCTTCTGCTTGGTATGGGCGTAGCGAGCAGTGTTGTCGACGTTTAAAAAAAAAAAGTAACGAAATACGTTACTTGCAAATAAAAGGAACGCGTTACCGTTACCGATTAAAAGTGGCGCGCGTTACTTTTGCGTTACTTTTAATTATAAATAAACGGTAACAATGTGCTTTTTTGTTTGTTTTTTTGCGACAGCGTTTTTTGATATTGGGACAAAGGGTGTGGGCGTTGGGGTTTTTCTAAACTGGTACTTTTTGCATGGGGGAAAAGATGAGCAAAATTCTGAAGGTAGCTGGAATGTAGTACATCTTTCAGAGTCCGCCGGGAACTTGTGGAAACTCACTCCGCTATTTCTGCTGTACCTTCAGTGCAATTAACGGCTACACAGCTTTGCGGCGTGCTGAAATGCTATGACGCCCATGCAAAACGCGCACCCTTCTGCCCACACCACCCGGCTCCGTCGCGATCGCAGCGCCGCCGCAGCTCCGTGAGCCCGCGATAGCAGGCTTTAACCTAAAAACAAAAAAAAAAACAAAAAAACACACAGACACTTACACACACACACACACACACACACATACACAGACACATAGTCGCCGTCACAAAAGCTGCTTCAAGGACCCGTAGTACACAGCCGTAGAAACCTAAAATAAGCAGGTTCGGGTCAATAAATGTTGTTACTAGTTGGAAGTCATTGTTTTTCGTCCCTTTATATGTGTTTACCTTCTTCGTGGTGGATACTGTCGCCAAAACGCTCGTTTTGTAGTTCTTTTTTTTTTTTTTTTTAATATTTCCTTTTTTTTTAGCAATCGGACGAGTAAATGCTGAAAAAGTGCATAAAAATGTCGGTAACATTGAATTTTCGGTTTTCTGGCGCGTCGGCATCGAAGACCATAGTCCTTAAAAAACCAGAAAAGTAAGCATTATATGAAAAGTGTACCAAAAATTTAAACGATGCTGTTAAAAAACTATCCGCTACCAAAAAAAAAAAAAAAAAATTAACTCGCGCATAAAGAAGAGTTATATGGAACGGCACACGCTCATAGAATAAAACAAGAAAATGGATGCACCATTTTTCATAAAATTTCGTGGAAGCCATAATAGTGTCAGGCAATGTTAGGGTTTCCACGCCACGTTCACACGCCGGTTGCTCTCTGCCGTGTATACGTGGTCAATCCCGATCCGATCCAAGATAACTTCCCGCGAGGGTTCCCGATGTTTTGTGCCGCGCCATTCGTGTAAGATAGGTTGGGGTCCGATTCTCTTGAGTGCTTTATTTGTTTTAATGGAAGCGCTCTTCAGTTCGTGACTGGGGTGCTACGGACGTGTCTCACGCTGTTTACGCGGGTACTTGCAGCTCAGTCGCCTTCCACGTTACCGTCCACGTAACGCAGCTGGAAACACAACAGAAAAAAAAGTGTTTCACTATTTAAAACTATTTAGTGTTTTACTATTTATTTAGCCAACATAGCCAGTGTCGTCAACTGCATGTTTGAAAAAAACTTAAGCGGTTCTCATAAAATCTCTAAAGGTTAAAAGGGAAAAAAACAAACAAAAAACAATACAGATGCTGGAACAATAGGCTTTTGTTATATTTTGAAAAGGTAAGATTGAATACTACCTGTATGTACATCTTGACAGGGGACCTATTTTGGGAACCGCTTTCTGTTCTGGATGACAGAATGAGTTTGTATAGAGGAAGCCTACGCAGTCCTAAAAAACGTCGTGTACCAAGAAAAAAAAATCGCTGTTTATCACGCAA